GCTTTGTACTTTTGAGAAGAAGCACTCTGCTCCTGTGGGGAGGACTGGTGGTTGGATTGTGAGCTCCTGAGGCTGGTTTAAGATAGAGAAGATCTTTGTGTAATTGCTTTGGATAGAGCCGGTGGTGTTGGAGATTTCAGGCTAGAACAAGAGGGTTTTGTTTTGTTTCGTTTTGAACCTTCATTGTATTGTGCTTTCAAAAGGGGGAATCTGGACAACCAGGTATCACCCAGGCAGGACTTAGTAACTAGGAGACTCTGGGACAGGACTCAGTCTAGAGTCCTAAGAATTGTCAACCCTGAGAGTCCAGTGCATCGCCCTGATTGGTTTCATGGGGGGATGTCTGAGGAACTTAAGTTCAGAGGACACCACCTTCACAAGACAGGCAACATTGAAGATGTGAGGTCGTCTTTTGGGCCTTTAGCTTATAAAATAATCTCACCTAATCTTTTAAAGATGATGTATTAGATAGCTCTGTAGCTGCAGTAGTGAGCTACAGCCTTCCTGACTTCCTGATAAGATCAGCGTGTCTTCTCCAGTGTCATTAAGTGTACTCGACAGGACTCTAGTGGTGCCCCTTTCCGGTTGTCCATCTTGCTTTCATGGTGCTGGGGCGGACCAGGCTTGACCTTCTAAGTGAGTTCATCTGCATTTGCCCTTCACATCCTGCTCATGGATCTGAGAAGTGACCTGTCTTCTGTAAACAGTAACTTTGGGTGCTGCTTGCTCCTGTCCTTGCGGTATGAGTTGCTTCGGTGCTCCTTCCGTATGTGAGCTGAAATTTGATACTTGTTGGTCATGGATTGATCTTGGATCTTGTGGCAACAGCATGGAGTGAAATAATAATTCTGCCATAAACAGTGCTGTGGTTGACTTTGTTGTATGCTAAGAGCAGTGTGGTGTTCCTTCCTATGGAGACAATTGTATGCATGTGTGTGAGTAAATTTTCTTGCCACACAGCATGCATGAGGCCAGAGGACTACTTATAGGAGGAGTCAGCTCACTCTCCACTGTGAGGATCCTGAACATGGAACTCAGGTCATCGGGCTTGGCAGCTGCCTTTGATTATATTCTATAAGGCTTGGAACACCACTGAAATAAAAACTACCCTGATGAAAACACTTCAGAGAGTATAATTTACTCTTTATATGTTTAAGAATTGCTTTATGTGTATGTTGGAGGGTGTGTGTCTGGAGTTACAGGCAGTTGTGAGCACCTGACATGGATTCTGGGAACAGAGTTCAGGAAGAGCAGGAAGTATTTTCACTGACGAGCCATCTTTCCAGCTCCCTAATTTACTCTTTAAATTGCATGTAGAGCTCTTTTTTTTTTTTTCCCTTAAGGCAGTATAGGCATGCAAGTTTTAGGAAATCAGCTAAAATCTCACTTTAAAGTCACAACTAGGTCAAGGCTTCATATGCTAGTAGACCCACCTGAGCTTTGTGAGAAGCAGCTGAGCTTTCTCTCATGGAGGAGAAATACCTGCCCTACTTACAAACTCAGCCTTGTGGTTCTGCTCTGCTCTTTATGTCCGAGTGCGGGCTGCTTCGGGTCTGAAATCTCTGTGGCAAACCTGCTGGACTTGAATGCAGTCACTCCCTCATCATCTCCCACATAAAGGCAGGGTTACTAGTCAGCACCACACCTGTGGGAAGCTCTGGACCGCTCTTTCCTGTTCCCGTTTCCTTTAAGGTAAATGCAAGGGTAGTGCCAATAAATAGCCTATTGCGAGTCATTCCTGAAAAAAGAAAATTACACTTTGAAAAATCCAAGACCTGTTGTAAAACCTACAACATAGGGCCAAAGAAATGACTCATAGGTTTAAGAGCACTGGCTGCTCTTCCAGAGGACCCAGGTTCAATTCCCAGCACCCACATGGCAGCTCTCAGCTGTCTGTAACTCAAGGTCCAGAGGATCCAATTCCCTCACACAGACATGGAGGTCAAACACCAATGCACATTAAAAAACAAACAAAAAAATCCTACGGCCAGGCATTGGTGGTACACGCCTTTAATCCAAGCCCTCTGGAGGCAGAGGCAATCAGATCTCTGTGAATTTGAGGCCAGGGTGGTCTACAGAGTGAGTTCCAGAACAGGCTCCAAAGCTACAGAGAAACCCTGTCTCAAAAAACAAAAACAAAAAGACAAAGGGATAACAAGATTTACAATGAGGTAGAAATAGGATGGTGAGCTTGCAAGTCTGTGACCCTTTATTATGTGTGTGCAGTTAGTTATACTGGTATTTCTCCTACAAAAATAAGAAAAATGATGGGCTTACCTAGCATTTCTGAAGCCCTGGGTTTGAGCTCCAGCACTATTGTATTGCTTTGAAGAGATTCCATGACCACGACAACTTACAGAGGCAAGCATTTGATTGGGAACCTCTTACAGTTTTAGAGGGTTTTTAAGAGGGTCCATTATTGTCGGAGGAGATGGGTGGGGACCGTGCTGGTGTGGGCTTTTGAGTTTACCTGCAGTGACACTTTCTCCAACAAGGACACACCTCCTATCTTAGTTAGGGTTAATTTTTCTGTGACAAGCCACCATGACCAAAAGCAACTGGGTGGGGGTGGGGTATTTCTCTCACAGTTCCATATCATAACAAGCAGTGAAGGCAGGAACTCATGCAGGAGCCTTGAGGCAGGAGCTGATGCAGAGGCCATGGAGGGTGCTGATTACTGACTTGCTCTCCATGGCTTGCTCAGCCTGCCTTCTTATAGAACCCAGGACCACTGGCCCAGGGATGGCACCATCCACAATGGCTGGGCCCTCCCCATCGATCACTAATTAAGAAAATGATCCACAGGCTTGCTTATAGCCCGCTCTTTCTTTTTTTGTTTTTTTGAGACAGGGTTTCTCTGTATTGCTTTGGTGGTGCACCACCAGTGCCTGACTTATAGCTCGCTTTTAAAGGAGGCATTTTCTCAATTGAGGTTCCCTCTTCTCTGATGATTCTAGCTTGTGTCAAGTTGGCATAAAAGTAGCTAGTACACCTCCTCATCTTTTCCAAACAGTTCCACTAACTGGGGACCAAGCATTCAAATACATGGACCTATGGGGACCATTCTCCTTAAACCACCAAAGTGACGTCCGTTATCTAGAAAAGAGGAGAAAGCAAAGCTGCTTACAGTGGCTTGTAATCTCCATCTTTGCTGTTTCCTTTTCGACTCCGTCTTTTCTTTACAGGACCTGGGAAAGTACACAGCAAGCAGGAATGGGTGTAAGAGTGGTGAGATTAGATTACCAACTTGCAGGTGGCAATGTTGAAGTTTTGACTGTCATTGTGCTTCCTGGGTGGTCTTTCCTGCGTCGGGATGTAACTCTGCTTCTGTTTCTAGGTACCTGGTGACCCATCTCATGGGGGCAGACCTGAACAACATCGTGAAGTGTCAGAAGCTTACCGATGACCACGTTCAGTTCCTTATCTACCAGATCCTCCGAGGGCTGAAGGTACAGGCAATAGCAGTGTCTGCCATGTGGGGAAATGTATTCTCCCTTCTTTCCTGTCCAGTCAGGACTTAGAACAGACAGTTTTTCTTAAGGGAAACTTAGAGGAATTACAGAATCAACCAACCCTGCTGCTCTTGTGTTTCCCAGGCTAAGGCTGACTATATATAAAAGAAGTCTAAGTATTTATGTCATCCATCCCTTTGATCCTTCAGTCTGAATATCTGAGAGAGGGGGGCTGTTAGCTGCATTGGAAAGTTAGTAGCTTCTTAATACACCCTGGTATCTGCCTCGTGAGATATTAAGGCTTTAACCATTCCTCAAGCCTGTGCTGGCCTCTGTTCCCTCTCAGGACTTGAGAAAGTAGAGGAAGGAGGACCACGTTGGGCAACATAGTGAGCACCAGACGTCCAGGCTTGTGCAGTGAGATCTTTGGGGGGAGGAGTGAGTGCTTTAGAATGAAACCACCTTTGAAACTTAGCACATCACAGCTCTCCCTGAGGTCATCATCGAGAGGGAGAAGGGGGTGGCAACCCCTGTGGATGGAGTGTAAGGAACTGTGTAGTGACCACCCACAGGGAACACCACCAGTGTTTAGTGGCTGAGGGAGACCACTGCAGACGAGCTACAGGACATGACGTGGGAAGGCTGGAGATGGTTTTCATTCAACTGACTGTCTTCTCTTTTGCAGTATATACATTCAGCTGACATAATTCACAGGGTATGTATTGTGTCTTTGATGGTGATTTTGATGGTTTGGGTGGGGCTAGAAGAGTGGCATCTGGTTGAGATGTGAGCCTTAAGTTTAACTGTTGAAGTAGTGATTGACTGCAGCTTTGCTCTCAGTGTAGACTGTGTCTCCCGTGAGGTCTCCATGTGTCTGCATCCTCTGCACCCGTGGGTAGGGTACTCACTGTGCATCAAGTTGATGCCGTTCTCTCTGCTTGCATCGTAGGACCTGAAGCCTAGTAATCTAGCTGTGAACGAAGACTGTGAGCTGAAGGTGAGACAGCAAATCCCTTGAGTGTCCCTTAGAGAAAATGATTTATAAGCCATTACTTTGAATCTGAAAAGCCATTTGTCCTCAGGAACATCGGACTGTGGAACTTTGAACTGCAGGCTAAGCAAGCTATTTAAAGGACCTTGGGAGTAGATTTCGGTAGCACAAGCGTTAAATCCCAGCACTCAGGATGCAGAGGCAAGCAGATCTCTGAGTTTAGGCTAGCCTGATCTACAAATTGAGTTCCAAGACAGCCTGAGCTACACAAAGAAGCCCTGTCTCGGGGTGGGGGGAGGGGGGGAGAAAAGAAAATTAGAAATGTAACATGTTGCTGGGCGGTGGTGGCGCACGCCTTTGATCCCAACACTCGGGAGGCAGAGGCAGGCAGATTTCTGTGAGTTCGAGACCAGCCTGGTCTACAAGAGCTAGTTTCAGGACAGCCTCCAAAGCCACAGAGAAACCCTGTCTCAAAAAAAAACAAAAACAAAAACAAAAAAATGTTAATTCTAGTAAAGAATGTCAATTAAACATTCCTGGAACACTCATTATTAGTTTTCTAAAAAGAAAAATGGCAAAAACTCAGAATGATTCAAATAAGACAGAAGTGAATTGGCTATCTGTAAAAAGTACGCAGTAGCTGGGCGTTGGTGGCGCACGCCTTTCATCCCAGCACTTGGGAAGCAGAGGCAGGTGGATCTCTGTGAGTTCGAGGCCAGCCTGGTCTCCAGAGGGAGTTCCAGGATAGGCTCCAAAGCCACAGAGAAACCCTGTCTGGGGGGGGGGGGGGGGGGAGTATGTATTATTATTATTTTTTTTTTAATGAATTTTTGAAAAAAATAACAGAGGGCTGGAGAGAAGGCTCGTTTCCCAGCACCCACATGGCACTTAACTGTCCAAATCTAGAGGATCTGATGCCCAGACATGCATGCAGGCAAAACACATATACATGAAATTTAAAAATGGAAAAAATGTAATAAAGTAACCCATATTTTAAATTTACCTTTTTTAGGGTTCTAATGTCCATGTAACTACAGTTATGACGTAGTAATCTCCATAAATTCAAAAGTTCTGAGTGTCCCCCCCTAGTGACCCTCAGCCCTAACCCTGATTTCTGACTCTGAATTACTCTTTTACAGAGTTTCACATAAGTGGAGTCACACACATTACTGTTACTAATGTCGAGCTCTCCACCTGCACTGTGTGCTTCAGTATTTTCGTCTGCTGCTCACACAGACGAAAGCACATCCACAAGCACACTGACCCTTGTAGCCTGCCTTCTGTTGACAGGCACTTGACACGGTTCTGGTTTGTGATATGCCCTGTTGTGCACATCTGTGTGGGTGTGTGTTTTGTTACTCTTGAGTGGGGCGTGTGCTTTGCTGGCAGCTTTAAAACCCTTAGAGCACGTGTGGTACATTTTAAGTCAGGACTGCAAGGCCCACTTAATGAGAGTAACACTGTTTTCTCTGCTCCTATTCCTGACTTCTGCTCTCGCCCTTAGATTCTGGATTTTGGACTGGCTCGGCACACTGATGACGAAATGACAGGCTACGTGGCTACCAGGTGGTACCGAGCTCCTGAGATCATGCTTAACTGGATGCACTACAACCAGACAGGTGATGATGCTCCAGCCTCCTTCCCCGGGCCTGGCCCAGCAGAGGGAGGGGCACTGCTAACATGGCTCTCAGATGACTCAGGGCTAGGTCTTCACCACAGGAGGGGGTTGACACTCAGCATTCCTGGAAGATCCACTGTTCACTAGTAAGAAGGGTTTGCCCTTTTGTGAGATGCTTGTTGCATTTGGCTTAATTATATTCTGACTTACATGACTATGGAGCCCTTTATTGAGTGACAGTTTTACTAAGGTTATTTATTTCTATAAAAATGATTGCTGAGCCTCAGGTATCTTTTAAGTGTTAATTTGTATCGTTCACTCCCAATTAGAGTCCAGTTTATAGTCCTGAATTTGATAGAAACCATTTCTATGCTTGTATTCTCCTTACTTATTCCAGTGGATATTTGGTCTGTGGGCTGCATCATGGCCGAGCTGTTGACCGGAAGAACGCTGTTTCCTGGTACAGACCGTATCCTTTAATGCGTTTTGGCCGGCTTCTCATCTGTGTTCTGCTGTCATAGATGTGTGTTTCCCTTACTTGTTTGTGGGAAGACTCAGGTATTGCTTTGGGGGTGTGTCCTCTTATTGAGTAGTGCACCTTGCCAAGCAAACAAGCTTAAAACCCACCTGTTGTCTTTTTGCAGCAAGTCCTTATTAACAAGTTTAGTCTACTGCAAACACTTAGCAAGTATGCACAGCCACCTGAACCTCAAAGGTACCTTGTTCTCATTTGTTTACGTATGAAAAGGCTGTGGCCCCTGTACTGTGCTGACTCCTGTCCCGTTTGTGGCTTAACAACAAATAGTAGAAGCCAGAGGAGAGAGGCCCCTGTTGTGTGCCTTTGTTTTCCACACAGCATTGTCCCTGGTGAGAGCCAGGCCCACTTTAGTCTCACTCATACTTAGCACCATCTAGGTTGTGAGCACCACACACCCTTGCCATCTCCAGGCACACGTTCCATGGTTTGTGGGAACTCCCATCAGCCCTTCTGGGGGAGGACATTTAGAAGGGAATGTTAAAGCAGTTGTTTAAAATCAGTATTCGGGAGAGGTTTTACAAAACTGCTAAGGGTTCTGGTTGGGCTCTAAGGAACGCCACAGCAATGCGTGCTTCATCATCTAACCGCAGGGTTAGCTCTTGCCTGACACGCCTGAGTCTGTAAGCTCACTCGCTGATAGCTTGAGCTGCCTTTCTCCAGGGACTGTCCTGACTTCTGCTAGACAGTGTCTTTCATGAAGTGGAACCTCTGCTCCTCAGGTAATGCTGTCTGCTCCTCTGCGTGCTACTGGACCAGAGTCCAGCCTCCCGTGCTCAGCTCGCCCTGTCACTCTCCAGTCGGGGACTTCAGCACCCAGAACATCTCCCTTCCCTTGGGATTTTGGTTTCTTTGTGTTACAGTCCAGGCTAGGAGGATTAAGAGGTTTGTGACACCCTCACGATGCCCTCTGTTCTCTTCCTTCCTTGTGCTGTCTCTCCAGCTCCCCTTTGGCTAGTCCCAGACACATATTCTTTCATAAACAGACAGCAACATCTGTAGGGAAACCGCAGTTCCTCACTTTTGTAGTTCAGGTACTCACGGGTTTGGGGCCCAGTCCCCGAAATTTAGATTTTAGCTCTTTTACTTGGAATTATGTGGCTTTGAGCAAGTTTTACAACCTTGGTGTTTCTCGGTTTCCTTAACGTAAGATGACATTAGTGCCCAGCCCAGAAGGTGACTGGGAATTCAGAGACAGGGCCACAGGCAGTGCTAGCAGCATCGTCATCCGTGGCCGTGTCAGCCACTTGCCATGGCCACAGACACCTGAGGGAAAGAATTGAAAGGAAGAAAGATTTATTTTGGCTCATGGTGAGGCAGAGCATCGTGGTGGCGGGGGTGCATGCAGAGGGGTCTGGTCATTTCGTGGGGGCCAAGAAGCCAGAGCCCGAGTGAGAGAGGAGGAGGAGGAGAGGGGAGAAACCAGGGACAGCACCCTTCTAGGACACATTCACAGTGACCTGCTTCCTCCCACCAGGCCCCACCGCTTAATATTTCCTGCAACAAAATATCATGACCAGCTGGAGACCAGACCTTCAGCAGGAGGGAGACACTTAAGGTCCATCCCTAGTCTCTGAAGGCCGCACTTTTTTATAGTGCAAAATGCATTCCGGCCATGTCCAAGAGTCCAGAGACTCAAGGCAAACTCTGATCTGCTAGCCCCTGTTAAAAATAGATTATATGCTTCCAGTATTCAGTGGTGTAAACATTCTCATCCAAAAGAAAGGAAGGAGCAGACCAAAGCAACATGAAACACGGCTTTCAAATTCTGTAGTTTCAGGTCCCTCATTGGGAGTCTCAGGGTGGTGTGAGCTGGGCTCCCTGGGGCTCGGGCAGCCCAGCTCCTGTGGCCTTGCTTGATGTGTGAATGTGGCCCCTCTCTTGGCTCACTGCTCTGTCACAGTCCATGTTCTGGGTACTCACATTTCTGGAGCCTCTGGCATCGTCAGCTTCACATGAATCATGCTGTCAGGCCACTCGCAGGGCATCCAGCCCTGGTGTACATAGCCAAGCTTCCCATGCTTCCCTTGGAAATCTGGTGGATACTTCTGCCACCCTGTAATTCTTGGATTCTGCATGCCTCAAAACCAGCATCATGTCAGCGACACCAAGCTCTGTTGTCCTAGGAAGGCACTTCCCAACCAAACCCTAGTTAGTGGGCAGGGAGTGTTGGAGGTACTGTTTTCTAGGGGTGTTTTGGGTAAGTTTACATGTGTATCCTTGGCCTACACTGGTTAGGGGTCTCCAGTTTCCAAAGGTCTCTGGTCATTTTCCTGTCTTATCTGTAGGAAGTTATGTTTTATTTGAGCCAGTCTTAACTTTGTAGCCCATGCTGACCTAGAACTCAGTGCGGACTCAACCCCACATTGCTCCTCTTGCCTTGGTCTCCAAAATACCAGGTGACTGTGTCTGGGATTCAGGACTACCCAAGCCCTTTGGAACTCAGCTCCCACCACCCTGAGCCTCCAGTGATAGACCTGGAACTATGGTTTTTATGCTGTGCTGGGCCCGGAGCCTAGAGCCCTACGCATGCTAGGGAAGCACTTTACCAGCTGAGTCACAACTCTAGGCCCCGGCTGCTGTCCTGAGTAGAACTAGGAGTTAGCCCACCTGGGTTTAGTTTAACTGGGTGAACTGAGTTAGTTTAACAGACTGCTTCCATTTTTCTTAAGGTCTTGATGAGTCAGGAAGTTCTCCTCGCTGTCCTCTCACTGATTTCTAGAGCGCTTTTCAAGGCCTCTGGGTCATGCTGGTTCCACAGCAGATGTCTGCAGGCTGCTTGCTTCCCTACCAGGGTTCAGTTTCCTCTGTGTGTATGTGTTTGCCTCTCTTTAGTCACTGTGCCTTTGGAACTGGCGGTCTTAACTGCTAGCTGACAAGTGCCCGATGGGACTTTTTGAGGCCTTGTGGATGTGTTGTGTGAGTGTTGTCCTGTATATGTGAGTCATAGCCATGAGCCTGTGTGGTTTAGGTAACTTGACGACTGATTTGATTTTTGTGAGGAAGTGTAATATAATGTAAAACTCACTACTTCAACTCCATTATGATAAAATTTTCATTAACAAAATTAACCAACAACTGTAACTTAACAGCATTAATTACATTCATACCGGATAATCATTGCCACTGACCACTGTGCTTGTGACTCTAGATGACCCGTCCATCTGGCTTAATAAGAGTGTTAATAGTAATTGTGTAAAGAATAAGCTCTTCTCTAGAAGCCTGACTGACTGTATGTCAAGTGAGTTCAGCTGACAGAGCTTAATAGCAAAAGAGGGAGACTGCAGACTGTCTTGCCAGGTGGAATCCTAACTTTTTCCAGATAACACCAGTTTGAAATGTGTGAGTCAATATTGGAATCACTGCCACCCAGTACTTCAGCCTAAGAACAGTGACTTGTGTAGCCTTTTCCTCATGTGTATCCAATACAGACAATATATTTTTCTGCCAATGATTAGTCTTAGTTTGGGGTTTTATTGCTATGAAGAGACACCATAGCTATGACCATGGCAATTCTTATGAAGGAAAACATTTAATTGGGACTGGCTTGTAGTTTCAGAGCCTTGGTCCATTATCATCATGTTGGGACACGGTGCTGGAGAAGGAGCTGACAGTTCTTCATCTTGACCGGTAGGCAACAGGAAGTGAACTGCATGTCACTTAAGTGAACTGGGCTTCACTTAAGCATAGGAGGCCTCAAAGCCCAATCCCACAGTGACACACTTCCTTCAGCCAGACCACACCTCCTCCAGTAAAGCCTCACCTCTTAGTAGTGCCACTCCCTATGGGGGCATTTGTTTTCAAACCACCACAGCTTGTTATCGTCCTTTCCAGTGTAATCAGGTAAATTTCCTTCATGCGTAAAAGCCCTTCCCCCACTATAATGGACATGGTACTTTTAAGATGTGAACTGTGGTCTAGAGAGATGGCTCAAAAGTTAGGAGCACTGACTGCCCTTCCAAAGGGCCCATGCTCAAATCCCAGCATGATGGTTCACAAATCATCTGTAACTCCAGTCTCAGGGATCCAGTGTCTTTTGGTCTCAGAGTGCATGTGGTACAGATAGGCTCACAGGCAAAATGCTCATGCTTATAAAAATATTTTTTTAAAAAGAAAGACATGAACAAGAAGGTGCTGGGGCTGCTGGGTTGCACTCACACGCCTGTGTTGCTGCTGTGACCTATATAATGTCTTCAGTGAATTAAGTCCTTTCTTCTTTCCCTAATGTGTTATGGAAAATTGCAGACATAGGAGACAATAGTCTCACAAACCCCATGTCTGCTCTGCCCAGACAGTGAAATGTGGTTAGTTAAACAAACCCACTAGAGCACCCACCATGGCATAGCTGCCCACTGCTTTCCATTGTTGGTTATATGTCCTCATTTTTGTTGTATATGCTAGGCAGATACTGAACACTGAGCTGTATCTCCAGAACTCTTCCTCTTTTTTGAAAAGAAGTTTTATTGCCAACCCTGAAAGCAGCCTTCCAGCACTCAGGAGGCAGGGACAGGCAGATCTCTTGAGTTTGAGGCCAGCCTGGACTATAGAGTTGAGTTCCAGGACAGCCAGAGCTACATAGAGAAACCATGTCTCCAAAAACCAACAACAAAGAAAAGAAAAGCATATTATAGCAAGTCTCCAGGTCAGCCAGTGTTTGTCAGGCAGGCTGCACCAAGCCAGGTGCTGAGGCCATGGTGCTACCCTCCCTGCCTTCAAAACCAGAGTGATCAGGCTGAGCCCACAGCAGTGATGGGAGTGACTTGGACAGAGGTCTCCCTCTGATGGAAAACAAGGAGAAGTGGGTAATATAGGTGTAAATAATTACTAGGGAAAAAAGTCAAGCATGAATTAAATTGGTGTGCACATGCTGGTAACCCTAGGGATTGGAGGGAGGAGATTCAGGAGTTCCAGGTCACCTCAGCTACATAGTGAGT